TTACCCACCCCAAAAATATCTTACCTTGACATATAACGAACTCCTCATATGCTTTCCTAGATTACATATAATCAACCTCGAAAACCATATAATATACACCAAAAAACATATTATACAAATATAGAGATGTAGTGGTTGATGATCAAAAGCCAAGACGTAGCTCCAAGTCGATCTCATCTCCTTCAACGACAACGTTTTCTCTCCTTGTAGCCATCGAACCGATTCGTAAGCTCAAGTTCGAGGTGGTCGTCCTCAACATGACGGAATCTACTAGCTCGTAGCCTCGGGGATCAGACACCGCCACGTGGAAACATCTTCGATCACCGGAGAGTGCCACGTCACCAGCTTCGTTTTGTAGCTTGGCCTTGTTGAGACGGTCACGTCGATGGATGTTCATGTGACCACCTAAAGCTTGTGCGTTCGTAAAACCTCTTTTGCAAAAAGTGCATTCGTACATTCGTCTTGTCACGGTGGAGACCGACGACGAGGTTGACGTACGACGGTGGTGCTGGATGGTTCCGGTTTCAGATGACGTGGACGACGATGATCTCTCACACTCCATAGATATAGTTTCAAGAAACCCTAAAGATGAAATTTTATGAAAGATGAAATTTTACGAAAGAGTAGTCAAATGTGTTGGCTGCATATAAGGATGGTTTTTTATGATAGAGCAGAGAAATGCAACATTTATATATACATATAAGGCTAATTATACTTTTTGTTGTTGTGTTTTTATGCTTGGAAGACATGATTTGGCTTTATCTTTCACCGTATATTAATGTATTAATTTCTTTTTTAATAATCACCGTATATTGTGGGTTTTGTTTTTGTTCTTATGTAGTATTGTTAGCTAGATTATAACGTAGCCAATTATTTATTATTAGCTTGCTAATAATAGCAAGTTTAAGTAGCTAGCCATTTCAAAGAAGTACAAAAGCAAAATCATTCCATTTGTTAGCTAACATATTTGATCATAAACTTTTGAAACTTTGCAATTACGCTAACTTTCAAGTAAATAATTAGCAATTTCTACATAATTATATGTGTCCAACAAATGGTAGTGTAGAATTAGGTTCAATGTATCAGCAAACCAATATTTACTTTCGTCTCTCGTAGTTATGTTAAAATTAAATAATAAACAGTAAAGTCACGAACATGAAAATATGGAAAAAGACATAACGAAAGATTTGATTAGAAATCACATAAGAAAATATATAAGTCAATCGTCACATTAATCCAATTAACTGAAAACCAAATCAACCTCAACTAAACTCTTCATTAGTCCACAAAATTACAAAAAATGATGACAATTAAAAGGCAATGGAGTGGTTTAAATCAATCGTATTTGTCTTTATTTCTAAACATTCCTTTTGTGCTTTGTCTTGTAATATAGTCGAACCTTTTATCGCAATTTGATCAGCCCAAAACTAAAATTTATGAATTGTATAGTTTGGTCTCGATTTTTACTATAAAAAAACTACGATCAAGTTTCACCCAAACAAAATATAAGATCTTGATAAGAACGAATTATCATATTTTTAAAATATATACCAAAACAACGATTAAACAAAAAATAGAATACATAACTAAATTTTGGTATAAATCATCTTTATTAATTAGACAGCTTGGCGAAAATCAAGGTGTCATTAGATAGCAACTGGAGTACTCTGATTCGCTTAATTACTGCCACATCATTGATTGATTACGTTTCTTGTACACCTAATCCGGTTTGTTTNGGTCTGGTCTGCTCTTCTACTTTTAATGTATATGGAGTAATAATATCCACATTACCGAACAAAGGCACCAGTGGTCTAGTGGTAGAATAGTACCCTGCCACGGTACAGACCCGGGTTCGATTCCCGGCTGGTGCACATCAATTTTTTTTATTTTCCCTTTTTGTTTTACAGCAGAATTGTCAAATGAATCGAGACAATGAACGGTCTTGTTCGTGTACCTTTTTAACAATATATGAAATTGTGTTGCCAATATTTGAAAATTGACAAAACCAGACATGATTAAGTTAATTAGCTTAATATATATCCATTGTATGAGTAAGCGATAAATTATTTGCTATGGAGCTGATTAAAAAATGCAATGCAACAAATCTTTGGAATCTGCAAATTCGACGATGGTGTACAAAATTATTAGGTAGTATATAATATAGTTTTGAGAAAAAAATCATCGCAAATATATTTGCATAGCAATAGTAAAAAATGTATATGATGGATTAATTGAACCGTTCATAATATATGTCGTCTTGAACAATTATTGTAGTGAACATAAGCTGAGAAGATTCTAAAATCCTAGACATTGAGTTTAACTCATCTTTCATCTTCTCTCTATCTTGAGGATTGCATTTTGATGTGAATGAAATTGCAACTCTTTTTAAACACTTGGAGTTTGCAAGTATGTATCTCGCGAGTTCCTTCTCTTGGCTTCTTCCTCCATTGTCTTTCCATTCAGATATTTCGAGATGAGTTAACAAGCATTTAGGAACAGAAGTCGGATGGTTCCAAGAAAGTGGGAAATCCTAACGTAGTTGGTTCTGATAAGATACACAATAACAAGAAAATGTATATGAGTTTTTATATATTAGTCCATCAAAATTGCATGCATTTGTTTGAAGTAAAAGAAGAGTACGGACCAGATCAATAAGAAGCATCTTTAGTTTCGGAGAATTTTGAACTAAAACCATTAGTGGGTCCAACCAGTCTAACTCAATTGGTTGTATCCTCACCTCTATTAGCTGAGAGAAGTTAATAGTGGTGCACCACACAGCCTGAAATGATACATAACTACATAGGTAATCGGTGGAGATAAGAGATAGAGAGAGAATCAAAATTACTTGGTACGTACCGTTACATGGTAAAAATATATATCGAAAAGTTTGAGGGAAGAAAGAGATCTCATAATATTTTCACTAGGGTACCATAAAACGGATATACTTGTTTTATCAAGGCGAGGTAAGTTTCCAATCGAGCAAGAATCTCCCGATTTATCCCACATAATGATCGTCTTTAAACTAGGAGAATTAATCAATAACTAAAGACCCATCAGTATCTTCTACATCTTTACCCTCTCTAAACACATACATCAAGATTTCTAAGGAAGATACTTTCAATTTGAAGTTTATCACGTTATCTTTTTTATGTCGTTCGACATGTAAAAGTTTGAGAATAGGGCAACCTGATCAAAGCCAAACTAGAGAATCATCGTCTTTATACACAACATAGAGAAGAGAAAGATTTGTGAGGGATGGGAGGCAAGACGACGAATCCATATAGACTCAAACAATCGAGTGTATTACATGTGAAAAGGCTCTTAGGCAATCTGATAGGTTTTGCAGACCAATCGAGATGGAATATTAGCTTGCGCACCATGCGATCAACCGCATTTTTAATCCACATTCTGACATCAACATCAACAGGACATTGTAAACCAAGTTCCACAATAATTATTTGTAATACATGTGCCTTGTGGAGTTGCAATGATTTATCAAGAAAATTCCAAATGCTTTTGCAATCATCGTTGTTGCTCTCTTCGTACTCAAGTTTTGACACCATCGTCCAAATTGACTGCCACCGTTTGGACAATATCATGGTAGCCACAACCTCTTTTATCGGGATGAGCAACAATATCTCCACAAGCAAATCGTCGGGTAAACTATTGATCATGGTTTTTACTCTCAA